TTATTTTGGTTCTTCCATAGTTAAAGAATTATGTAATCATTTGAAGCCCAAGTAAATATGGCAAAATCATCAGTCGTTTTAAACTTTCATGAAACCTTGCTTCATCAGTCAGATGTTGAGTTACTAAGTGGACCATATTGGCTTAATGATACTTTAATATCATTCTATTTTGAGTATCTAGAAAAATTTGTTTTCAAAAATTCGAAAAACTTATTGTTTGTGTCCCCAGAAGTTACGCAATGTATAAAAATGGTTCGATCAGAGGACATAAAAATATTTTTAGAACCACTTAATATAAACATAAAGCAGTTTGTATTTTTTGCATTGAATGATAACAACTTACCTGATATGGCAGGGGGCTCTCATTGGAGCCTCCTTGTTTATTCTCAGACAGAGAGTTGCTTTTATCATTTTGATTCATCATCAGGAAGTAATCATAATGTAGCATGGAAATTTTCTAGTCATATGAGGTCATATTTAACAAAGAGTGGTAAGGCTTATTGTTTTACTATCACATTATTTAATGGCTTTAAATTTGAGTATTATTAAATACTTTTAGTGATCAAATACTAATTTAATTAAGTCATGACTCTTTTTAGGTGCTATTAACTTCACAGAAAAAGAATGTCAACAACAGAGCAATGGCTATGATTGTGGAATACATGTTATATGCAACACAGAGAGGCTTGCACATTGGGCTAGCAGCCATGGTGATATTGGTTCCTGTGATATGCTAGTTAAAATAAATCCTACCCTTAAACGTCAAGAGATGATTAAGACCATAAAAAACTTAGCTAACTTGAAATAATTAGACATTAATCATTTTATTGAATACAGTCAACTATATTATTTGGTGCTATTTATGACATCATTTTATATAACTTAATAAATCATATTGTATTAAACTGATTAGCATTGAAATTATAAAGTTTATAAAATATACAATTTTTGGTTCACACATTATCCATGTTTGAGAACTTTTGATATAGTTGTGGAATAAATTTAGTAATTTTATGATTACCTGCAGTTTAATTTTTCATAGTATCTGTGAGATTTTTGTTTTGAATTTTTTTTATATTAAAATTTATAATGCAAACTGTGGGTTTTTGCGTTTGAGCCTTCATGGCGTTTTCACTTCGTACATTATATCCATTGTGAGTACATTAGGGTGGTGTGTGATTCTTGTTTTGTATTTAGTCAACCTTTCCATTATTTCCTTCTTTACTGGCTACATTAAAAATGTTAAGGTCGTGGCATAAGGAGTTTGCCATAGTTGTAGGCCGTAGCACCATATGGGTTTAATTATGGCTTTATAAATAAATAACTTGTCATTGAAAACTTAGAGTTCTTCTGCAACATCCAGTACATTTTTCTGACCTGTTGTCCCATTGCTATTCTTTTGGTAAAGATGTGTTTTCTCCATGTGTCTCTTGTCTAGGTACATTCCCAAATACTCATTTTTTGGGGGACTTGTACTCCGTTTAATGTGACTGGAGGGCAAATGTCACGTCTAGTGCTAAATGTCACTAGGACCGATTTGGATTCATTCGCCTTGATGCGCCAATCTTTAAGCCATTTCGCGATATTGTCGAGGCTATTTTGGAGTTTTTGGGTGGCTTTTTCTGGAAGTTCGTCCGATGCTAGAACTGCTGTGTCGTCAGCGATGCTGCCTGTTATAGTGGCCTTGGAAGTCGGTAGATCTGCAGTATAAAGAAGAAACAAGGTAGGACCCATTACACTGCCCTGCGGTACGCCTGCATGGATTGGACATAGTGTTGTCACTTCTTCGCCATGTTTTACAAAGAAAAGTCTGTTTTCTAAATAAGATCTAATGAAGTTGTAATATTCGATTGGTAGCGATTTTTTATCTTAAATAGCAACCCATCATGGCATACGCGATATTGTTTCCTTTCGAAAGCAGTGTTAATGTTGTCACAAGCCTATGTACTTGTTCAATAGTACCATGCTGTTGCCTGAAGCCGAACTGGTGGTCTGAGATTAAGCTTCTTTCTTGTATAATTGGCGATAATCTGCGCAAAAATAGACTCTCCATTACCTTTGATGGTATTGGCAATAGACTGATAGGCCTGTAAGATTTTACGTCTTCTGGATATTTGCCGGGTTTACGGATCATAATGATTTGAGCCACTTTCGATTGTCTGGGGAAAGTTGAAGTTCTCAATATAGCATTATTAATATTATTTAGATGCTCAACGGCTTCTTCTATGTTCTCTTTTGTTCTGAGTGGTAAGTGTGGGATTATTGCAGCGGAGATTGAATTTCTGAAGCTATTCCAGTCTGGTTTTTCTGCTATGTCCTAACGTATGTCGTTAGGGTTATTTTTCTCCTTTACAGTATTTCGACTGGAGAGTGATCCGAAGAAAGTTCAAGCATTGATTTGTATTCGAAGTATGTGGCAGGGATGCCCCTCGCTATTACGAAATCAATTAGGTCTGGTGTCTTTCTTACATCTGTGGGCCAATAAGTTGGTTCACCAGATGAGATACAGCTAAGTTTCAACTGATCCAATGCTCTCAGCAGCTGTCGGCCGTTCGGTTTAATTGTTCGTGAACTCCAATATGTATGTTTGGCGTTGTAGTCACCACCAGCCACGAATCGCCTTCTCAAGGTGTTGAAGAACTCCTCATAGTGGTCTTGTTTTAAATTATGTTTAAGAGGGCTATACACAGCTGAGATTATGAACGGTCCAGCCCAATCCTTGATTACTATGTTTTTAGCTTGTATTTCATTTGTACAATAATTTGCAGTTTCATGGTATTGGATATTGTTTCTTATTAATATGGCGCTACCTCCGTGTGCAGTACCATCAGAGTGCGTCGTATGATAAAATTTATAGGAATCAATTTTGAAGTGACTTTTCTTGGTGAAGTCACTTTCTGATATTAAGAGTACGTCAATTTTGTATAGTTCAAGAAAGGTTTTCACCTCGAGGGTGTGTTGTGACAGGCCATTGGCGTTCCATATAACCATTTTTATGGAGTCGTATTGGTCAGTTAAGTCGTGAGTGTTATAAGTAGGTTTGTCATATTTGTAAGTTATTGTATCATTGTGGCTTGTCATCACAGTAGCTTTTTAGTTTTTCGTTGTTTGATATTCCAAATATTGACACAGTCATGGCCTAGTTCAGATAGTTCTAACTTTATACCGTTTAAGTCAGTTAATGGGTGGATATGTTTGAGGACCACTTTGAAGCTTCTTGTTTGGGTTTGTGTACGTGTAAAACTCTGTGCATTTTATTTCAAGCTTTTTGCACGGTAAAGCTTTTGCAGATAATCTTAAATTATTTAGGCTTGTAGAATCGAACTCCCATTCATGACTCTTACAGCGTGATGTAAACAGTCTAGTAGAATGGTGTAAAACGAACGATATGCCACCAAATCCCCAAAAATGCTATCACGTAAAATTTACACGTAAAAAAATCCTTATCAATCGGAGTACCACATAGAGAATACGTTGCTCTCAGAAACGAACGAAATTAAATATCTGGGGGTTGTTCTAGACTCAGTCACGTTCCGCATATTGACAATATTGTTAGAAAATCAGCTCAGACACTAGGATTTCTCAAAAGAAATACTAAAGGGTTTCAAACCAAAACTAAAATCATAGTTTATAATATGCTGGTACGAAGTCAGAATACGCAAGTTCTGTGTGGAATCCATCTTAAGCGGTACATTCTCAAAGGATTGAAAATATCCAAAGAGCCTTCACGAGACATATCGCTCATATCACTAGCGGAATATCATACCGATGCCCATATAAATACCGACTAAAACATTTTAACATGCCAGCATTAAAGGATCGAACCGTTCATGACCTATTTATGCTTTATAAAATCTTACACGGTCATATCTCATACAGTGAACTATTAAGTAATTTGTAGGTGTCCCTTACAATCTTCCCCGGCGCCCTATAACAAAACTCTTTCGGACTCCTCCACATAGAAGCAACTTGGGTTTGCATGATCCCATTACACGATTCTGCAATTATTACAACACTATCTGTGAAGAACTACCCAGTATAGATCTATTCCATTTAAGTCTTAATAAATTTAAGAAAATTATTTCAAATCACGTCTGCTAATATTTTAATTCCTGATTATTTTAGTTATAATTTAGATTGTTGTAATTATTCTGTATTTTTAATGTATATTTTTGTGTGTTTCTCTTTCTTTTTAATTTTGTTCTGAAATTAATTTGATTTTTTAAATATTTTTACATTTATTTTGGTTCAGTCTAGTTAATCCTGTAACAATGCTGTGTCACCTAATCACGTACATGCGTCAGAATTTTAGTATATATCTTACTACTTAAATAAAATAAAAATAAACGGCTAATGAAACGACGGGTCGCTCGGTACGTCGAGTTTGGTCGCTTGGAACTGGCTTTTCTGTCAGTCATTCATCCTCTTGGCACGAACCGCACAGTAGGATTGAAGGGTTTTTTTCTCGCGGTTCAAATGACGTGTCTAACACCAAGGCGTATACTACGGCCTGCATACTATGTTATCTATGATTTTTTTTATTAATTTTTATAGTGCTGTTATCTGTACTAAAGATGAAACATTAAAATTTCTGTTAAAATATTGGAAAACTCTATCGCCGTTGCACTAATCGAGATTAGCACTGTAAAAATTTAAAATTTAGGTATTAAGGACATTCAAGTATATAAAAAGCAATTGTTTGTTAAATAGCAAAAAGTTGCTAATAAATGGTGAGATGATAATTTTTCAAATACTCCATATGGATAATACTATCTATATATATCGTGTATAAAAATATGAAAGCTCGTAATAAGTACTTTTGTTGGCGGGATTAATATTTCTAGGACAATAAACTAATTAAGTTACCATTTATTTATTATAACGGAATATTTAATGATGTTATTTATTTTATAATTGTAACTTCTCATTATACAAGAAATCTTATAAAAAATATTTTTAAATATTACAAAAATACTTTTTAAGACACACTCCTCCAACTATGAGTCTTTTTGAGGTTCTCTCCACCCTCCAAAGGCAATGTCAAGCTCTTCTGCCATGGCTAAACACAACCTGTCGTTATTGTGGTTAGCTATTACTTGTATGCCAATTGGAAGACCATCTCTACTTAACCCTAGAGGTATTGTGGTGGATGGAAATCCAAGACAATTTATGATAGCTGTATATGAGAAATTCAGAGCCTTAAACAATGGCTCATTGTGATATGGAGCTGTTGTTGGGTGTGTTGGATACAAAAACACGCCATTATTACCAAGAATATCTTTAAATGTCTTCTCCAAATCATCGCGTACTTTTAAATAATGTATATATTTCTCGCTACCGATTTCTGGCCCACTGTAGTCGAACAGTGATGTTACTATTCCGATCAAAGTATTGCCAGAACACCCAATGATATTTTTGAAAAATTCTTTGCAAATAGCAAACACACTATTAGATTCCATTATAAAGTGGCCAAACTTTGTCTGGTTCTTCATATTCGCGAACCAGATTGCAATAGATTTCTTCAGGCGGTCAATCTTTATCTCTTCTGCTTGTATTTTGTGTTTAACATCAAGGAATTCTACCACTTTCTTCATAGCTGCAATAATTTCAGGGTCAACTGAATCTGTTAACGGTGCGTCATTACTAAATTGGTAAAATACTTTTAGTTTTCCAATATCAACTTTGTCGCTTAGATTTAATTTGTTACTATTATCCCCAGCCATTATATTTAATAATGGCTTTAAATCCACAGCGTGCCGAGTTATAGGACCTGTACCTGTATATAAAGACTATTTTATTTCAATTTAATGAAATTATTCGATAATATTACAATTCAATACTAATGAGGATTACTTACCTAAAAACGAATGAAGTAATTCAGTTTGTGGTATTGGATATTGTCCCATATTTGATACGGTGTTTCTTGAAGGTTTATGACCGAAGACACCGTTAAAATAAGCAGGCATCCTAATAGAACCTCCTATATCTGAACCTGTGAATAACTTATTATGTAATTAAACCTAGTATGGTGACTGGTATTAAATTTATCATAGGCAGTTTAATTAGAATCCCAGATGTGTACCAATAATTTTTCCTATTTTCTATATTGGTTATAGAAACTGATTTTTTTATTATTCTGTATCATTAATTATATGTCGTATAGGACGTACCAACTCCAAATATACTCCCAGCGACCGCTTGAATGCAACCTTCACCTCCAGATGACCCACCGACTATTCTCGTAGTGTTGTATGGATTTTTTGTTCTTCCATGTATATGGTTATGAGTCTCCCACCTAGGTATTAAAAGACATTAACATAGTAATGTTACTCTCAAAAACTCATACAGTTCATAGACCGTTTTTAGGCAATTGGAACTGTGCTTGACTAGCTGGAAAGATTCAACACTATTATTTATTGATGACTAAAAATATGCCACTAACCTCGCAACTAACATATTTTTTTATGGTTTTTCTTCAAAAACATGTAAAAATGTAACTGGTCTTTGTCTGTAAACGGAAGATATTTGAGAAAAACTATTATTGGGAGTCTTTATCAACGCAATAGAACCCAAAACAATGATTGTTAAAATTTTTGTCTGTTACTCTGCGCGTTTGTGCGCAATAATCTCAGATACGGCTTAACCGATTTGGGTGCAACTTTCACTAAATGCATTGTAGTAGTAGCAAAACTTACTTTAAATCCGTTCATAAATAAAAAAGTTATATGAACTTAAAGAACCATATCGATTATTTTTGTGATAAAATGCTGGTGTTACAAAATTGACCCTAAATGTAAACACTTCTATCGCTACTAGTATTTCTATTTTCTATATAGTTGAATTGAATGACCATGGCGGGCCGATATCGACCTGAACCCCACTAGAAAGCTAGGAACTATTTTTAGTAGTGATGGGAGGACAAAAATAATTTGTTTCAACTCGCTAATCTCTGGAACCACTGGTCAGATTTGAAAAATTCTTGCACTGTTAGATAGCCCGGGTATATAAGGTCGACTTAGACTTTTAAAGCACGATATAAAATTAGTCGCGTGCGAAAAGCTTCATCAACATATTCATCAACTGTTATAGCTGCTTTGCGATGAAAATTTCAATAATCCTCTGGGTACATGTTACATATTTACTTGTTGTTGTTGTGTGTTATGAACTTGTTTTAAAATTTGCGTTTTTACAGAAACTATAACCACTCTTTTACACCTTCGATGTGAAATTCTGGAGTATTTTCTTTAATTGCCTGCAGCATAATAAATCGAATTTATAACACGGTCTAAATTCCAAGTTTCAAATCCCAAGGCTTAAGGTGTGCCCTGACAACACAGACAATTACTATATTTTAAATTGAAAACTATTTATATTTTTATGAAATGATACAATACAGTGACGCATTTATACAAGTTTTTCAATGTTTGTCAGGTCTTAAAACTTAAAACTTAGAGGTCTGAGACTTAAAACTTACGTTTTTGGTACGGTAATAGGACAGGAGTATTTTGGAAGACCCTTATAAAATGTCTTGTCGAGATTGATAAACGATGTTGTTTATGCGCATTCTGATATTATTCTGAAACTTTAACATAAAGAAAAAACCCGCGCAAGGAGTACATCACTTATACACACGATATTTTTGTATCGTTTTAATCAAAATAACTTTAAAAAATATTAAAATACTGTAACTTTAAATTTTTCTGCTTTGTAGTTCTGACATTGTATGACAATATAAAAGTATGTAGAAAGAACAACATTCAGTATCGTGTATCAGCGATACTCGATTATTAGGGCGAGTGCTGTGTCGTGAGTACAAAATAAATGCGATACTGTGGTATACGTCTCATGTTTTTACCCCATTGTCCCTTTTGAAGGTCGACTGGACATGCGAGGCCGCAGAAATACTAATAAAAGCATATACATTCGGCGGTATAACGTTACTATCGCAGAGAACGATACTAATAACGCGTGTCGCCGGCTTTGCAACGGTGGTCATTCGAATACTTATCTATATTCCTCTAAATCATTATCATTGGCCAAATCGTTTCGAAATCATTACTTTATTATTAATAAAAGCATGCTGGAAATTGTAACATACGATTAAGGAGCCGCTGTTACTCGAAGTGATAAGCAATTAATTAAGACACTTAATAAACACTGTAAAATAAAAGCAGAACGTAAGACTAAGAAAGTACCGCAAAAGGTTCTCTGTTCTCAACCGCTCTCGTTACCTAGACAGCCAATAACCGTCGCACTAAATTCCCCTGAACTATAATGACGCATAGGTGACATTCTGATGTCACGCAGGGTTCATTTAATCATGTATGAAAATATTTATGCTCACTTTCCATAATATAGCAAAACGAACAAGCGTTCCCTTATCGTTGTTTCTTTTTAATACATTTTAGTTCAATTATAACATTAGTATGGCTTTAATATTTGTTTTCGATTGGATTTTGTAAAATTACATACCGTAAGTAGAATTTGGAATGTTTTTTAACTATAAGTCTATAAAGTATTTAACTATTAAATGAATAACCTTCAATAAAGCTAAAGATTAACCTAAAATTATAGAATTTAAGATCTATACTTTTAATAGCTGTGTTTTATATTTCCTGATAGGTAATAGGAATTGCCTCGAAGTACACCGCAGAGTACTAAGTTATTTATTCCTACAACGCTGTGGTCTCATGTTACCATAGTCTGGTATATCAGTGACGTAACCGGACAAAGTCCGAAGGGGGCCATTTTATTTCCATTCGGAGCGCGCAATTAATTATGCTAAGCGAAAATGAATTTTATATTTACCACATGCAGAGTTCAGGAACGTTTGTGATTCCTATTATGATGGATCCTTTGTCGCGCAACAGCTTGATGACGTCGGCATCTTTCTCAGCGATGAAGTCCCTGCGCAATACAACGCCCGATGTTTGGTGTAGACCTAAAAAATACGCTAATAATTTACCGTTCTGGTACTAGTGGGTGCCGAAGTATAGGACAGAAAAAAGCATCCCATAGACTTTATACATTATACAGGCAGCTTATTTAATACTACAGCGTTCAACGACCTATTTCATTTAAAGTTACGTTTAATGCGGTTTCATTGATTTAGGACTTTTTGCCCAATACCATTTTAATAAGTTTACGTGATGTCGCTTTATTTTAGAGACGACTGGCCTGTCATTTAAGTAAACTAGTGATATAATCACCAAATTCAGATTTTGCACGACCTACTTACTGTGTTGTTGTTGTGCTTCCGATGTCTATATAATGTTTATTACCGATTTCGAAAAATATACATTACACAACACTGTTCTACTTTGTATACCCAAATTGATATTACGAGGTACGGTATTCGCTTAATAATTCTCTTAGAGTGCCAATTTACAAAACAATCTCTAATATATAAAATTCTCGGTGTTTGTAATAGAACTCCTCCTCGTGAAATTTTGTGTGCATATCCGCCAGGGTGGAGAATCGGACAACATCTATTTTTCATTCCCCTAAATGTTAAGGGTGGTCCACCCGAAATATTTTTTTTGTACCCTACAAATTCCATAGAAATAATTTATACGGCAAGACAACGTTTGCCGGGTCAGCTAGTATTTTATAACCTTCAGTTTGCTGATTACTTATGTCGTTAAAAAACGATCAATCCGAGTAAATTTAAGCCTCATGAAGTTGCATAAATGTCTTTTTTGTTACCACTTTTTTGCTGTTCAAAGCAACCAAATATTTTCAATCGGTTTTCACAATAATAACTGAAGAATAAAAGTAAAGGAATATAGGACTTACCAATTTGGTATAAGTATTATATTTCTCTAACTAAGCTTTATGTACAGACTGACTCAATTGCTAGATATCGTTGTTATTGGATGGAGTTGTTTAATTGTGTTTTTCCCGTTCAATTTTACATTTAACGCCCACCGTTGCCAACATTGCCAAGTCCGATACAACGAATAAAATTCATCCCGAATTCCGTAGTGATGATGTTCATCGCAAATTCTAACGCACGAATTTTTGTAAACGTTTTTTTGTAAACATGATTTTTAATAAAATCATTTCAATCTTTACCTTTCACGCCAATACAGTCTTTAGTGGTGAAGGGAACGCCTAGAAAAGGTTTCTCTTGCGCCAGCTGTGTCTCGGTCATAGTTCCGCTGCGAACGAGTTCATCGGCCTCTCTGGCCTCTTTTAGAGCCGCTGTGAAACGATCCTCGACGAAACAGTTCACCACCGGGTTAACATCTCCAATTCGACGAATGCACGCTTCCACAACTTCCACGCTTGTAATCTGAAGCAATTCGAACGGTACCAAAATGTATCCATTTTAATAATTTTTTGGAGGATAACTCTGCTTTTAAAAAATATGAAAGAATATTCCTATATCTAACATCATAACTAACTTTAGTTTAAAAACAGTTAATTAAGATGATATTCAAGTTATGCTGAGAGGCATAATAGACATGTGTGATTTGAACTCTTTTATATAATTCTTCTGAATGCATAGAGATTCTTGGACGTTTTCATTATTCAAAATTCTTTTTGCGTCGCTCGGTTGGGCCAAATTGAATTAATTGAATAATATTATATTATTACTAGCTGCTGCCCGCGACTACGTCTGCGTAGAATAGGCTGAAGGCGTAACATTCAGACAGAAAGATACATACATACATATTCTATGTATATCTGCATAAAATATGTATGTAATTTATAGATTATGTTTTGTTCTGATGTATACCTATATTATTGTAAAGTTTCATTAAAATCCGTTCAGTACTATCTGAGTGAAAGAGTAACAAACATCTATCCATACATACAAACTTTCGCCTTTATAATATTAAGTAAGGATGTTAATACTATTCTAATTAATTGATTGCATAACACTAGAAAACTTGATTTTGCTGCTTTATTAATAAGCGGTTGCGGAGTTCTTAAACAAACTTTGTTTCATCGCCACTTAATACCAAGTCGAATAGGAGTAGCATTTAAGTAGTTTACTTCTATAAATTAGATTTTTTTATAAGGAACTGGTCAACTTTAACGCAAATATTAAAGAAATTAGCCAATTATGCCTCGTTAACCTATGTGGGATTCAAGAATACGAGAATACTCGTATATCGAAAAAAACAAGAAAAACGAATTATTACAAACCAAATATATCTATTATGTATACCGATATTTTAATTTAATAAATTATTTGGCTGCAACAACAGTTTACGCATGTATTCAGGATACGGCCAAATTGGCCGATTAACGAATGATATAAACAAATATTCGTTGCTAGTCAGTTAGTTATGCCGAGATACTCAGATCGTACAGAAGTACAAAACAAGTAATATTGATAATTATTTCAATAATAATATTAATTGAATTAATTATACGACAGGCAAGATAATAATTAATATGACTGTTAGTGGTAGACAAACAAATGATCAGACAAGACATTCCTTACTAATATTAAATATTACTGGTGGCAGATGGAGTTGTTTTATAGGAACAAAGTTAACATCAAATTACAATTCCTTGGGTATGAAAAAAAGTAGATACCTACCAAACATATCTCTCTGTCTGTTCGAGATCTAAGAAACAAGTCACGCGATCGTTGCCTTTAAATTGTGAACCCTACTATTATTTTCATTAAATTTCCATTATGTTAAATTATGTTATTTATATAGACTTTGAATGAGTATTAATACTCATTCAAATTTCAATTTTTCAAAGTTCCTGTTGACTATAAGGCATTTTAGGCAAACCAGTGTAGCCTTTTTTTATAAAGCAGATGCACAAAATACCTACCATTAATTTCAAATTATAAGTTACTGTTACTTCCTCCTGTTTTAATGCTCTTAAACCGCAAACAAGTAAATTATTTACGCATTCAATATAGTTTTCGTAATATTATTTGGGGTAGATCAAATGTCTGGAAATGTTCAGAATATACAAGGCTACTTATTTAAAAAAATTTTAGAGATAAAATCAGAGTTTTAAATATTAATAACTTTGTACCTTAGTGATAATGTCATCTTTATCATCTTCCGAATTGTTTATCATATTAAATCGCAAAACTTATAGAATAATACAATAACAATATAAGTGCATTCATACGCATGGAAGAAAGTTTCTTTTTATTTTCTTATACTACATGCCCAAAGCCTCGCGACATGGTAAAAGTAATTGCCATATCGCAGATTTTTAAACATCTAGTAGGGCGAAAAAAATTATTTGTATACTTAGCTTTCCGTGCCTTCAATCTTTTACCGAGCATAGGCTGCACGTTCTCCCGGACACGGCCAATGTTCATAATTATAATGTTTTACAAATGAGTTTTTTATATAACAGTACGATTGAATTACAAATTTTGTTTCATTCTTCAAATTGTTATCGCTTGGTGATAAAGAGATAAAAAGGCCTCCATTAAAAACGGATGATTAAACAAATCACGTTTCATAGTAGAGCATTTATGTTTTAGAGCACATAAAATAACCAATTTATAGATACACGTGACCCAAAACTAGTGGTTATATTCTCTTTAACCCAAAGGTAAACAGTAACAACAGCTTTATAGAAAATAGCAAATTGTAAATATTTCATCTAATCCGTAGTGCTCAATATTCTGGGATTGCTGTACCCAATGATATTTTATACTATTGCATTATATTAATATCATTGGCTGTGACAAATTGTGATGCCGGTAAACTAGGTACTTAAAATAAAATAATATCGGTTGTGATAAACCGCTAAAATACGCTTGAAACTCTGGAACTGTTACAATTGTAGTTGAAAAAAATCACCAGGATAGCCTTGTGAACCGGTAAATTCAATTTGGTGAGTCGCTAAATCTTTCTTCTATTAAATCACTAAGTGACGTCATCATCAAAATTATCTAAGTGTAATCCTCTCATGAAAGCATACATTAGGTACATAATGGTTATTTTATTCCTTTAAAATAACATGAAGGATCTCTATGCTATAATCTAACATTTACAAATTATCAGTTCTTTATACAACTATTGTTAATTTAATTCATACAGAAAATTCACATAAAGATTTTGTTGTTTATGAAATAACGTACCTCCTTTTTTCGTATTTTCCTTGCAACCTCAATAGCGGACAATGTGAGGATCTTGTCTGTTATAGGAGGCAATTTTTCTCCTTCAGTACCATAGTAAAGAGTGAAAAAGAGTCTTGCTATTGCAGCAACTGCTAATCTAACAACATGAAACACTCTCAACTTTAGTCCAATGGGTTTATTTGTTATCTCTGAACTCATGTTTACACTGCTTTAGCTTCCGATTCTATTTTTAATTTTTATTTTCTTAACACGACACTATCAGGCGAAAGGTTGAATTTATCACTACCAACATATATTTTATTTCCTTATGGTGTTGTAACGCCTTTTGCGGATTGTAAAGACGCACGCGGTAAGCGCCGAAGTTCAACTTCAACTCAATAAGCGAGGGCCGATGATATAAACATATTGTGCTCACTATACGGGCCAGTTGCCGTACGTCACGGTGCTATCGCTGTCTCGCTTTAGTGTGCGTTCGGTAAGGTGAGTACTGACTATTGACTGACTAGTTTTTTAGAGACGGCTGTTTTGTTTAAAACCCAGAACCCAAAATTGCGTTTTTTGTCCCTTTTTGTTTTACGAAGACCGACATACAAGTAAAATTCTGATGGTATTTAGTTGAGTGCTCTGAATGTCTGCTGTAAAGACGATGTAAATGGTTCACATGTTCATTACTGAGGGATTGCCAGCCCAATCAATGTATAATTATTTGAACTGAATTACTTTGACGTAGATTTTTTAATTAAAGATTTACTTACTGAGTCATATGCATAAGGCAGATTACCATTATTGTTTACTTTAACAGTTAATTTACTAAATTTATGATAACAACACAGACTTATTCTTCTAAAGTTAGCTGATAATTACTTACTTACTATAACCCTGGGTTTTTTAATATAATTATCATGTTGTTGATACCTAATTTGAATTTCACAAACATCCTGTGTAAGAGTTCTTCGAGCATGACACACATGGTTTATTCAAATGAAGTACTATGTGAAGTGAATTTGTTTACCTTTGTAATCATACGAATAGTTTAAGTACTGAAACTATTCGTATGATTACAAAGGTAAAGTTTTTGGGTGAAATACTATAAACATGTGTGAATTATTTTTGCGATTGTTTTTTACGTAAAAAGATGGTTGTGGTAGTCACTTAAAAGCAGGTGAATGCCTGCTATTTTTTATTTTGACATCAAGGCGTGAAACAACTGAGTCACTCCCGTGACCACGATCGCTGAAAAATTAAAATAGTTTCATTTAACACATTGTCCATTATATTTCGGCGTATTAAGTTTTTCAAACAACAAAATTAACAACGAAAGTGGAAAAGTACAGTTTCATGATTTCCTTTACTCCATTTGTAAATTATAACTTTGTATTTTTAAGGAGATCATAATTGTGAGTCCACCCATAGGGATCATATTGCTAGATAGAATTACAAAACCAAAAGGAGAAAAAGAAACCAGATTGGGTTTATTGATATATCTTCTTAAATGCTTTAAGTGAAAATAAATTTACTTACAAAATAAAGTATGTGTCTGTTTTCCTTTTCCCAAAAAAAATTAATTATGCCTATTTGTGCTATCAATTCGTGTCTCAATTATGTGGGAAAATCATATAATAATACCAAGATCACTTTTTATGTATAAGTTTTGTTATTTAACCACTGTCTCGTATGGACTCAATGAAAGGCCTTTGTAATGTCTTGAAACAATTTAATTTGTAACTTTTTGTACGACTGAACGTTTTCACAACCGTCAATAGATGTAGGTATATCGAATGTCATACAGTACATTGTTAAATGCAACAGAACACGTGATCTAAGCGTTGCTATTAAAATGCATCAGGCGCGAACATCCTCCCCCCGTTGAAGATCTGCAGCAGAAGATCTGCAGGTAAGGGGCACAGGCGAGTCAAAGGTCGACGCAGACATCCCTTTGCAGTTCTCACGTCGGCAACTCGAGCTATAGTGTCTGGTCTAGCGTATAACTTCTCGTCTCTACCGAGACGCCAGCATAATGGAGGAATATTGTCTTCGGAAAGTAAAACTAGATTACCAAGTTTGAGACTAGAGGTTTTTGTCTTCCATTTAGTTCGATGTTGCAGCACTGCTACATATTCTCTCTGTCAGTGAATCCAGAAATGTTGACACATTTGTTCAAGATGAGCGTAGCGGTGTAGCTTGTTTGATCGGCCGATTAAAAAATGCCCTGAGGTAAGGGCTGAGAAATCGTTGGAAGACGGAGATAGAGGACACATAGGGCGACTATTAAGGATAGCAAATAACGTAGCCACCTCCACTTGAGCAAATAACGTAGTCAACTCGTTTGAGGAGTTAAGTGACTGTTGCCCATTACGCGCTTAATATGGTGTTTGGCGGACTTTACGCCAGCCTCCCATATACCACCGAAATCAGGAGCGTAAGAAGGATAAAAAACGAATTTGACACCTTCCTCACTTGCAAAGTCAGATAGGGAGTTTTTAGTAGCTTTGATGAAGTCACTTACTTATTTGTCCGCAGCAACGAAATTGCGTCCGTTGTCGCAAAATACTTCCGATGGCTTGCCGCGGCGAGCTACAAAACGACGAAACGTCATAATGAAGGCATCTTTTGTAAGATCGCTAGTAGCTTCGAATAAATTTGTATCTTAAGCACACGAACAAACAAAGATAACATTTAATTACCTTTGCTCCACGGCTCTTACGGTTTATTATATAAAATGGACCAGCAAAGTCTATACCTACAGTACTGAATGGAAATCTATAGTGACGCGTTGGTTAGGTAAATTTCCCATCATAGGATGTATAGTTCTACCCTGATGACGCCTGCATACTACACAATTGAATACCGTATGGTGGGCAATATGTCTACTATTTATAGGCCATATGGTTACACGTACTAGCTACAGTAGCAGTTGGGGACCGGCGTGCAAGTGACGTTTGTGCATATATTCAAAAAACAAGCGAGTAAAATGACTAGATGAATGTAAAAGAACAGGATGTGTCTTATCGTATATATAAATAGGCAGAATTGGCAGGCAGAGTCGAGTTGAACTGCTTGTTATGCTCACCTCTCGTAGGTAAAGATAACGGTTGTTTGTTTACAATGCACCGCTCGCCGGGCACCGGCGATCCTGGAAGCGTTCGGCAAACGTTACGTTTATACCGTGCAAATTATTGTTAAAAAAAAGCTACTTAGGAAATACTAGTAAGATTTTAATGACGGTAGGTAGGAACTAATTTGCTAAATAGTTACTAGCTTAAAAAGGTTCTTTGTCTAATTATATAGGTGAAAACATATAGATAATATGATAACAAATATAACTACGATGAAATAACTATGAACTCGATATTTTATAATATTATACAGCTGTGTTACAAAGATAAATTATGTGTAGGTGGGTAGAACCACATAAGCATGAAATTGATTTTAAAATAGATAAACACGCTATATTTACGTATTATCTTGGAAAATAAACAACTAATTCAGTATGTAGGAACATGACTCATATCAGGCTCAATAGTCCTCTTCCATCTTTATTTATAGGGTAAGCGTGGATTAACGGGCGAGGAGCTATAATTACAGACCACGTTCTTAACAATGATTTATTACATAATTACACGGTTAATCTACTACTTTACACTCAATTAAATTACAACGTTACGATCACTTAACTTGATTACCACATTTATTAACAATCACTTTGATATTCCTCTTAATCACGATTAACCCAACTAAATGATAAAACAGTATGAAGGAATAACTAATACGGCGTTCCACAGAACACGTGGCGCGACTACCGCTTCTCAACGTATAATGACTCGCCAGCGCTCTGAGTTACGCCAATGACAGTTAGCTGTCATTAGTTGCCATATTAAAAATTATAATTGTTACCGAAGCGCCGACAAGTATATTACACCTTTTTTGCTCAAGTGGAGTATTATTTGGTATGAATTTAGGGAATTATAGGAGGAACTTGTAAGGAATGGCACTTAGCTGCAATGGCCTGGCTGCGGAGTGGATTTACTTGATAAAATATTATTCTTCGTCACTGTCCGGCTTGGCTGCATTGGCTGGTACTCAATCCTCAATAGTGTAGCAGTTAGATCGTCAAAATTGCGTCGAAATTGTGGCGACAGGGCAAACAGGTGACGTAGACGATGGTGTTAATGTTCTTAAATCTCTTATTCCTTGTTTTCTTTGTAATTGTTATTCGTCCTGTCACGGTCGCCACTTTATGTCTCGTATGGATACAATGAAAGGCCTTTTTAATGTCTTTAAATAATTTAATTTGTAACTTTTTGTACGACTGAACGTTTTAACAACCGTCAATAGATGTAGGTAAATTGAATGTCATACAGTACACTGTTAAATGCAATAAAACACATGATCTAAGCGATGCTATTAAAATACATTAGGCGCGAACAACCACTATTAATTCAAGAAAACACGATTTGGTTAGCCGGTCTGGTTAGCCGGTGTTGTTAGTTTATTACTAGTAAGTTTAGGAGAAACTATGGAAGACAAAATACAAATATCATTACATCGTCATTTGTTCAGAACATTATTATTTTAAGAATTATTTTTTTTTATCAGAAAATGATAATTTACCTACATAAAAGAAATGAACCCCATGACATCATGTACTAAATAGTATTTTTGTAAAAAAAAAAAGTAAAGTAACCGCCTGTAAAAATCCCACTGCTGGGCAAAGGCCTCCTCTGTAAAGAGGGTATCAGGGCATAGTCCACCACGCGACCCCACTGCGGATTGACGGACTTCACATATTTTCGAAATATTTTTTTTATTATTTCGAAAATATACAGGTTTCCTCACGATGTTTCCTTCACCGCCGAGCATGTGATAATTCAGCACTTAAAATTAACAGTTTCATTGGTGCTGGCAACGGGCATCGAACTCAGGTTGCTCGAGTAAATGTAATTAAAGGCGAGTGCCCGGACATTGAGCTATCACGGCATTTTTGTTACTTCTTTTATTTTAGAGTTCTGATTTTCTACTTGTAAATCCGTACTTGTAAATCTATATATAATTCAAGATTTTAGTAACAGATTTTAATGTACAAACTACTGTGTTTTTTCATTGTATTTTTGTTCTTACTAAAATAAATAAAACTACAAATCTACGAATGGATATTACAATAAATTTGGAATCTTGTGACCAAATAATTTTTCTTGAGATGGATCTTAGATTTATTAATCAGTCATGTCGTAATGTTATTGTTATTTAATATCAAGTCTGCGAACTACGAACACTCAATCGAGGCATTAAAATTAACAAAAAATCTTTAATTTAAAAAAGTAATTAACTTACGGCAACAATTAAGTTTCCGTGAATCATGTGTTCTGAAGAATTTATTATTTTCGTAATTTGATTTTTGTAACCGGTCCTTCGACGTTAGTATGTTTCAGTATTACTATTGATTGGGTTTTACAAAAGTTAAATTATATCTTGCTTCTGGCCTTTGGCTCGTTTCGTGCACAATCTACTTTGTTTCCCTCGATTCTGGTGACCGTTTACCCATAGTGCTTTTCCTAAGATAGACTACATTTAGTAAAACCTGGTACCTTACGAACCTATACACAAATCTTTGATGTAAAATTTGACGATTCATAAGAGCGCGCAAGCGTCTATTTGAATAAATATATTTTGATTTTGATTTTGAAAAAACAGTCTTGAATTAAATAATGAATCGTGTTTACAATGCCCCAACGTATTAAAAAATCAAAAACACCTATAGTGACACTGTCAGTGTCATAATGACAACTTTTACCATTGACAAGTTTGCTGTTTGACAATGACTTTTCTGATTTCTTTAGACAGAGTTTGATATTAACGTCGTGCGTGAGTGATGTACATTTTTTTTTTAACAAATAACTTATATTCGTGTTGTGATGATTATTTGATTTTAAATGATATAAAAGAGACGATAATAGATTGATCAATAGACACTGGTTTTTTTATTACAGAAATTATATGTTTCAGTGGAAAATTCATAATGTTGACAGAGTGAAATTTGATATTAGCGTGAAAAATATCAGCATATAATTATTAATGCTTCCTTAAAATTCTGCCATTGGTAAGTGTTCGTTGTATCACGTTATTTAGTTTATCGTTTATCCACGGATAGTTTCATCGTGATCGAAAAATTTTTAGTAGGTTTAAAAATAAACTTAGCATAAACATCAGTTCCGCTATACTTTGATGAGATCTTACTTTAACAGTTAAATGACTATTCCTACGAATATCTATAAGTCTCTGAGCTTACAGAATAGTAAATTATACTAAAATGTAACAGTTCAGTGCTAAGCTAGATACTAGGTAAGTGCCATAGTGACCGATTGATTTGCAAAGAATCAAAATATGCAAATAAATTCTAACATAATGTATATAAAACAAATGGGCAAATAGGAGGTATATTGTTGGTACCACTCTAGATAAGTATTTATGTTTGTGTTTTGAAGAAGGGAATTCGTTCAAAATTGTTTTGGAGTTGTTATTATCTTATTGGTACATAAGTAGGAGGTAATTCTAATTCCTATCCCAATTGCATAGATTTTAAATTTATTTTATTCCTTAAAAGACATTGCTTTACTGAATGCAAATATTTGTATGATTAGTATGAGTTCAAATACTTTAGGTAATCTTGTTTGTGTATCCTCAGCCACATGGCTTATTTTAATAAGGAGTTTCAAATGTGTAAGAATCAAGAACACACCATTATCATCAAGGATATCTCTAAATGTCCTATTCAAGTCATCAGGACCCATCTAATGGATTATATTTCCTGCTACAGAATAAATGGCCCGTTAAAATCAAATATGCTAAAATATGGACATTAAAGTGTTGTGAGAGTAACCAATTGTTGGGATAGGGCAGTGACAGAGAGACGTTCGTACAGAATGACAGTCTTTATTCAAGTAAGGTACACTGTGAAACAGTTGCCATTTATATACCCTCAATGGAGGAAGTACAGATCTGTTGAAATGTATTAAGTATCATAATGAGGTACAGATTACATGGAATGTATAGAGTATTTTTGTTATATTCCAACACCAATGATAGATTTCAATAATTCATAAATGTACATAAGAAAGTAGTGGTTTTGCTTTGGATTTTAGAGACATTTTAAATCCATAATTCCTCATGAAACAATGCCTTTAACACCATTTTAAATTCTGTTAGCCATAATAGACGAAAAATAGACTAGTAGAATAATTTTTTTTTTTTTTCATAAAAACTTGTTTAAATTCTTTTCTATCAAATATGATAGTGATAATTCATCCATCTATTGACAATTTATTCAAAGGACATATATAGTAATAGACTGATAAATGTTCTTTTTTTTTTTCATGATAAATTACTTTATTGTTCAAAAAGTAGAAAAATAAAATAGTCTATGAGATATTTTCTTACTTTGCTTTCCAAAAATCAATTAAAAATCTTTTTTTTTTTAAATTAGCATGAAACAATTTGGTTCAATGATTCAGGCTGCAACATTATTTATGCCTAGTGATTAGTCATATCTAAAATCCATATAATTCAACAGTATTTATATATTGTATTTCCATTGGTATCTATTGATTCATTAACTTAATTTTCAAATTACTTGCTATATCAAAAATAAGTTGTGCAATTGTAGTATATTCTCATGTGAATGATGACATTCATTTGCGCACTCTAGTAGTATGTGTACCCTACTTTAAGAAACCATATCCTCTTGTTTTTTTTAACGTGGGATAATTCCTTCATGGATCCCTGCCACCGTAAATGACCATGTGTGCCGCCTGTGGACTTACTATCAGGGTGGAAGGTTGCCTGCGTAGCTCGGCCTCCTGTGTCCTGGTCTCCAGCGGTTTATATCCAGGATGGCAGTTGCCTTGGGTCGCGGACGATTGCTTCTTCGTGTTGTCATGTCCCCGGCTGATGCGTCAGAGACAGGTGCAACTTGGGTTTTTTTGTGGGTACCTGCTTCGGACTGGGACTCACACATACCCTTGTCCGGGTGGCAGGAGATCCATTAATGATTTTTCCCCACGAAAAAAAAGGATGAAATACATCCCGAAACCACCTAAGACCAACGTCGCGCGTTAAGCGAGGTTGTCATGCTCCCTGTCGAGCCACCTCCTCAGGACAGGGCGTATAGCTTCTACGGGCCTTAGACCGGTGCTGGCGTGTCCCAGCATTTGCTTACTCACACGACGATGACTCCGTGGCGCAGTGGCCAAGGTATTGGCTTCGGCGTCGGGGATCCTGGGTTCGATTCCCACACGGGACAACTATTAGTGTGGCCCACAGATAGTTGTTTCGCATCTTGGTTGTGGTCCGCGTGAAAATGTTTGTAAAACGTCTTTACAACACAGTATACTCTTACTAAAGTAAGGGCAATGTTAAAAAAAAATTTCAGCGTAGGACATTCCTGCGCTAGCTGTGCGCAGGAATGTCCTACGCGCTGAAATTGCGCTGCGGGCGGCGAGAGAACCCATGTCTTAATGGTAACTTCGCTATCGGAACATGTGATTCGATAATTTTTTATATAATTTAATTAACATTGTTATTGCGTAATGAATAAATATGTACTAACTCCAAGTTATAAACGTGTACTAAATCTAAAAATACTCCCAGCAGCCTTTTGAATGCAATCTTCACCATTTGATAATCCGTCCACAATTCTCGGATACGGATTGAAAAATATATATTTCGAAAATATGTGAAGTCCGCCAATCCGCAGTGGGGCCGCGTGGTGGACTATCCCTTGATACCCTCTGTATAGAGGAGGCCTTTGCCCAGCAGTGGGACATGTATTGGCTGTTACTTTACTGTACAATTCTTAGCCTTCAGATTAATAAAATTGATTAAATTGCTTTATTGTTACGAGGGGCGGTCAAAAGGTTCCCGGAACGGCCACGTAACAAAATGAAATTAAGCCCAAATTTATTTTTCTTTCTCAGTATACTCTCCCTTAACTCTAATAAATTTTCCGATGTCCGATGATCTTCAAAATAGGCCGAAATTCCTGACTTCACATCATCGTTGTTAAACTTTTTTCCTCAAATTTCTTTTTAGGATTCCGTACCTAAAGGGTTAAACAGAACCCTATTACTAAGACTCCCTGGCTGTCTGTCCGTCTTTCACCAGGCTCATGAATCGTGATAGTTAGATAGCTGAAATTTTCACTGATGATGTATTTCGGTTGCTGCTATAACAACAATGACTAAAAAACAATAAAAAAATATTTAAGTGGGACCTCTTATACAACAGACATGATTTTTTTTTGCCGTTTTTATAGAAAATGGTACGGAACCCTTCGTGGGCGAGTCTGACAGGCACGTGGCCGGTGTTTTCATTTTCGGGAACAAATAATAATCCGACGGGATCAAATAATAATCTAAATCTGGACTCAAGGCGGGTGGTTCACGATTCTGAAGCCGCACTTGTGTAGCCGACGCAACGTGACTCTTGTGGACTGGCACTTTGTCGTGCAAAAGCAACACTCCTCGAGACCATTTTCCCCTTTTTTTTATCCTCAATGCCATTCAACGAGGAAATGCAGCTAGCGTTCTTGGCACTATAATATCTAATTTTAGATAGATATAAACTTGTTTAGATAAATAAATAGTACCTGGAGGACCGAGCTTTGCTCGGTGTTTTTTGGTAAATCGTATAGGTATTTGGATGTTTAAAAAAATAAAAATAAAGAAAGCAATGATCTGGTATAGAAAAAAAAGTAAAAATAAGTGTGTAAATGATCGTGACACGAACCGCAGCCTTCTGTTTCGGGGCCGCCCGATTACCGACCGAGTTATTATAACTTTTTTTTTCGGCAAAATTTACCGTCATATTCGAATGATATTTTTCATTCCCTGAAAATAGGGATAAAAGGACATTTTCTAAAAATGAAACCTAGCTAAATCGATTTTTCGCCCCCGAATCTACGCACATACTAAATTTCATGAAAATCGCTGAAGCCGTTTCCGAGATTCCGATTTTATATATACAGCGTGTCGCTACCATCGCGACAATAAATGAACACACGTCTAACGCTACTTGCCAATAATCATAAAAAAAATTTAACTTTAAACAAAAAACATAATTGAACAAACTAAAATAACAGGTGTTGTTCCACACAAAAATTCCTCACAAGCTTTTTTTTCTCTATTTACGCTTACGACTGTCATCTTAGTTCGAAAGAGATAAATTCAACTGTTACATCCTGTTACAGTTGTTACTAAACATTCTGTCACTGACAAAAGCTCTTTCTATTTTTTGCATAGGTTGCGGACACGTAGCAATGATAATTTCTTGTCCCTTTACTGCGTTCGGATAAATACACATAAAAAAGTAACAAAAATATGGCATGCATGACTGCTTAGATAGGGTTTATCAAGCTTGTAGAAACATTATTTCCACGAGCTCTGTGCCCGACGAAACTGTCTCCTTCTTCTTTTAAAAAAACATTGCCCTTACTTTAGGATAACATTATCCTGTGTTGTAGGGACGTTTTACAAACATAAATTTGACGCGGACAAACACCCAGATGCGAAACAATTATCTGTGGGTCACACAAATAGTTGTCCCGTGTGGGAATCGATCCCACGACCCCCGACGCCGAAGCCAATACCTTGGCAACTGCGCCACGGAGTCATCTACCGTAACTTTATACAGGCTCCGGACTGAAAGGACAAATATCAATAAAAAAACAGCCACAAATTGTAACCATCATAGCTTAGAGCTATGTTCAAATATTAAAACACGTAGTTAACGTAGTATTCAAATATTTGAACATTTTGTGAAGTTTTGTAAATGTAAACACTAGACGCTTTACTTTAAGATTAGCTAGGCTAGAGCTGTGTTATCATATATATATACGTTTTCGTTTTTAAAAGATTATTAGCATTCCTGATAATTTTTTAAAACACTACTGTTTTTTAAAATACAAAACTAAAAAAGTTACATTATTAAGATTGTATCTTAATAATGTAACTTTTTTAGTTTTGTTAATTCTTATATATTTATTATTCACTAATTGGAATGGAACTTTAATTCATATCTTGAAAACCCTTGTAATCTGGACTCATTTACTCTAGTCATAATGGAATGGCATGTGACCAACGAACTTCCTCATCACCGGATATTTTGTGCGCGCCCCTTACAGTTGCATTACCCAATGGCAGACTTACAACATTTTGTAGAACTTAATGACGTCGACTGGATGTTGGGATTTGAAAGTTATTTTTTTTTTATATTTGCACACGTAGCTGGCGCTTCGCCTGTTGATTCCTGTTTGTTAAATTATAAACGGTAAAGGCTCAAATAATATTAACCATCTCTACATCACCTTTATTCAACAACAATAACTCTATATTACCTCACAAATGTTGCATTTACATTTGCAAGACTTACTGTTTTATTCGTTAAATTATGATTAGAACACGGGAGTTTATATATGAACTTTTGGGTTCAAGGATTTTTGTAGTTTCAAGAATGTTTGCTCCTTTGCCACGCAAAAGTCTAAAGACGCCAGTATCTTTCTCTGCGACTATTTCGTTGGCCAATACCATTCCCGATGTGTGACGCATACGTAAAAATAAAATCATATATATTTAGAGATAAAACGTTTTAATTAAACTAGATACTCGGGATTGAATAACACTGTGTGCTACCAACTTTGAATCTGAGCTCGAAAAACCGAGAACCGATGGAGAAATAAGGAAATAGATACCTATATTCCACCTGAAACACATTTGCGACCTGTCTGGATAGTTTGTATACAAAGTGCCAGTTTTGTTGTTGAGAGGGAAACTGGATCGCGCTGCTACTATCTCTCCGGTACACATTAGATGTAAATAATTATGTGGAAAGCATTTTCTGTTTACGACATCTTAGTTGTTTTCGCTCTCAATGTCGCGTTCACTGTATAGACATTAATTGTACAATAACTTAATCGTGAGTTTAGTTTAAATGTGAGTTTCGCTTGTACTTGTACCGTGCCACAATATTATGCTTGAAAAACTCCTTTATATTTTTATTAATTCCAAAGTGTAGTTAATCGTAAATAAATATTTATTATTTTTTCATAGTATTGATTAAAGCATTCTCATTTGTAAAATTAGTTTTAATTAATATGTTAATTCAATTAGTCAATTTTATTTAAAATAAGGAATGAAACATTACACATTTTTCTTTCGCCTGCTTTTATCCCACATAAGTAGGGTCAGCGCAACATTAGAATCATGTAGTTTAAGTCATTGACGTCAAAAGGAGGCCCTTTCGACTTCAACCCTCCTTGTTCACACAAATCTTAGTCTCCTGTGGAAATCGGACGTATTCAATTCAAACAAATCGAATCGAATTGTGTCTATTAAATTTTCCACTACTCAATTAATAAATGACGTAAACATCAATTAGAAGACGGTTCTACTTTGATGATTTCGCCACCAATTTAAGATTTTTTGAGAACGCAGTAGAACCTTTCCTATAATGAACATGAAGCATAGTATTTACTTCATTAAACACAAGAATTAAAATCCGGTTCTATTTTGATTAATCTGACACAAATGTAAGAATTTATTATACCAAATGCAGTAAAACCTTTGTAACTAACCTTGTAATTAATATAAAACATAATTATTATTTCTCTATTCCATTAAAAAACAATTGATTCGCGTAATTTTCTTTTTGACGAACATAAAATAACTTTAATTACATTTTTGAAGGAATTGTTAATTTGCTATAAGCCAGTTTCCGAGAGGTCAATCAGTTTTAATTTACGATTAATCTCTTGTAAATTATTGTTTCATATGATTTGACTTGCTGGACCATTGATTTGCAATTGATTATTAAATAAATTAACAAGCGATCAACAGAAAATCGAGTTTTTCCTTGTTCAACGAGCTGTCAAAAGTTTGATTTGATTAGCTTATCTGTGGATTTGGCCGGTGATATAGAGTTAGCACGTGTTCTCATGTAACCGTTATTTTAAACTAGAAAAATGTCACTTACGAGCCATCCAGGTACGCGGAGCGTGATCCCCGAAAGCTGTAGACAGAATGAAGCATTATTTTATCTAGTTATTTTTATTATTCCTCGCATAGACGGCCAATGACGTGATATATTAAATAACATGATGTTTTCGTGACACTGACTCGCTGACATACGACAGTGCTGTTATTTTTACTTTTGTACAAAACTAGCGACCCGCCCCGACTTCTTACGGGTGCAATGTATTATACATATAAACCTTCCTCTTGAATTACTCTATCTAGTAAAAAAAACAGTTAGCTCTGTTGCGTTGTTTTAAAGATCTCAGCATACATAGGGACAGACAGACAGTAGTTAAGGGACGGCGATGATATTAATTGAATTCTTTATCATTGGTTAAACTGTGACTAGCAAATTTTTCTTGAACGAACCTTACAGGTAATTTAACAGCTGATCATTTTAATAAAATGTTATGCTGCTTTGATTGACCTTTCGAATACTGGCCATTTATTTATCTGCGATTTTTGATTGAAATGCCGTTTTATAAATTTTATAAATGTTGCGCTACGCAGTCTTTATTGTTGACGCATGGGCAGGCTCACTCAGGGTAGTTCCTCGACTTCTCAGAAGACCGGCTTTGATTGGAATTGTTATACTTCTGCGATTCGTCTGGGCATTTTATTATAAGGTTGCAACGCATCTCCAACCCTCAGTGTTGCAGGTGTCCATGTGTGGCAGTTGTCACTTAACATCAGGTGAACCGCCGGCTCGCTTGTTACCCGATTTAGAAGTTTAAATTTGAGCTTGAACTATTTACTTATTGCCAAAATTATTCTAAGATTTTTGATTAGTAATTATTTCACTGCCTCTATATTATGAGTGTAATTATTTTTATTAAGTCATAACTACAAAAGTTTTTGATGAATTTTAAATAATAGTAATAATAAAGCCTTTTTTATTTACCTTAACTTACAGTTTTTAAACTTGACTAATGTTATGAACTATATCATAATTGTTTACTGATATTACCTTAAGAATATTATTAATATATTTGCACATTTATATAGTTAAAACCCATGGCGGGTATAGGCCTCCTCCAAAAGTTTCCACTTTTTTTATCTTTGCTTTCTTTGTACAGTTGTTTCCAGCATTTTTTTTATTTCGTATACCCTGCTTTCCTTCGGGCGACCACTAGCTCTCTTGCGAAATTAAATGATGAATTTTAAATACATTCTCCCAAATGCCTGAATTAATTAATTCGTTGTTAAACAGTATCGGACTGTTCATTTTCTAGTAAACTACTCGCTGCAATTTCCTCAGTATTCGCTTTGCGGTTTGCTACAATATGTTGGTGCTGCGTCTTTACTATACTAAATTATTTACGTGTTGAACAAATGATGTGGCTTACGGGTTAAAAATAAATAAAATGATTGGTATCATCAACATCATTTAGAATTTTCTTTCTCTTTATATAAATCAAGAAAAAATCACTGATTAATATCTACAACTGCGTTATATATATATAAAAATGGATTGCTGTTCGTTAGTCTCGCTAAAACTCGAGGACGGTGGCAGTCCGGGTATGGTTTAAACGATGCGAAATTATGAAAAATATGTATGGAAAATCGAAATAGCAACAATTTTATCTTCCCATACAAACTGTACCTGTCAAACACTTTATTCGTGCGTTCCGATTTCTCTAGAAATAATTTATATGGCAAAACAACGTTGGCTGAGTCAGCTAGTATATAATATAGCTCTTTGAATGTCGTAAGTGACATAGAAGGAACAGTTATGTATTGTGCTTCTTGTTTTGATGCACTGCAACAGTATTTTTCTTGTTACAGGTCGCTATGTCTAAAACGCGTGTACAGGAGGATGATGGGACATGCACAAAAAGTAATCCGCTAAAGATAACCTTACCCACCGTCCTCTGCACCGCGGAATCGATTTCCGATAAACCTGATGTTCCTAAAACCACTGTTTTACCGCCATCCGAGTCAAAGTTATCGCTCCCTTCGAATCTAGGGACGCCGACCTCCCCGTTGCGATTATCATCCCCTCTATCCCTACCGAATTCCCCCACCCCTTTTATCAAAACGTCACCTCAAACGAACTCGGTCGAAAAACAGCAGTCTGCTAACATGGAAACTGGCTCTGCAACTGGTGAGTTTTATTAAATATACCTAATTTCTGATAATAAGTCAACTGTGGATGTAATTTCACGGGAGCTAATCGCAGTGACCAACCATCACATCCATTTCCAATCAGAAAAGTTTTTTGTCCATCCCTTGAGTGGAAGCGTTGTTTCGAATCCTTCATGGATGTTCAAATTTGAAGTAAGATTGTAAAGGAATCGGGTTGCAATTCAATTTGGGTGCAAGAAAAAAAGAAAACTTTTATCGATTTATTTATTTATTGATTTAATTTTTACACAAATTGTGTAAGAAACGACTTAATGCCTGCAGCTTACTCTACCAGCCAAGCTAATCTACTAGGAGATGCAGAGATAAAAGTAATATTAACTTTTGTTAGAATTTCATGAAAAGACTACTTAAAGAAAAGTACTCCTGGTAACCAGTTATTTACATCCGATCCTTTAATTTTGTTCAACAAGCTCTTACGACAACTTAACGTATTTCGATCATTGACTATTCGAAAACAAAGACGAAATTCGGGGTTTAGTTGCGATCACTATTACTAAACGCGGACGGGACGGGTTCTGTTTTGCCCGTACTGTAAATAATGAAAACACTCGAGCTTTTCCCTCTGGGCGGTCGTGACTCGCAGTCAAGCGCAGAGCGCGGCCGAAAACGGGCGTGCCTTCGCTCTATCCTCTCGACTCCGCTCATTGACTCTCAAACGTCGCAGTTTGCTCGATTACCTCTCGTTACCATAATAATAAATTGCACTTCGGTCCGTTCAACACCGTTTGGGAAATAACAAAACTATCAAGTCGTTTCTTACTGTACAGCCTCGAACTTTTATTGTATAATCTTGGCAATTGAATTTAGTGCATATGGAGAATAAGCTGTGTCGATCTTGACATGGAGCTGCGGTACGCGCGTCGCGTTTTGTTTTCAATACGGATGCCCGTGAAATTTTGTGAGATCGTCGTCCGTCGGTGTGACGGTTACGTGTATCATGTAAGGAGTTGGCAGTGATGCCTTGCTGCGGTTGCTGGTGGAACGGCAGACAGAGGCATCGACCGCCCGAAACGACTGAATCAGGTTAATTTCCGACACGCTCCACTGGAAATGGTTAACTATTTATTTCTACCGATAAAGCCAATCTCTCGGCAGAGCTATTCACAGCCGTCGATATCACCTGGAATTCAATACGAATCTGATGTTGAATTTACAAACAAGTTTATTCTAATATCGCAGATGAGATTTTTTTGCTGTTTGTAACCGATCGTGTTAAAGTCTTTACAAAACTCAGCTTTATACAATAATTAGTTACGCGGCCCAGCCTTACAATTTAGTTTTTGGATATATTTTACAGCCATGTAAATACACATAAGTACCAATAACCATTAAGGAAAATGTACTTTTCATGGAGTAAAAGAATTTTTCAAATAAGTGGATCCGAATGTTGACCTCCATAAATTCAGAAAATAAATACTATTTGTTTTTAATATTCCTATTTTAAGCTTTTAAAACTTTGTTTGTGTTGAGGGAAAACTAGCTTATGCCACCTTAATTACTTCTGTTTGCTCTAAAATTGGCATGCATCAATTAAAAACAAAATGTGTTCAAAATGTGTCGTTGAACTTTGCGTAAGTTTTATGAAGATTAATGATTGTATACATTTACATGATACGATGGTACCACACATAAGTAGATTTCTCAGCACTCCGTATAAATCTATAGAGTTTATTTAACTACAGCTTGTAACAAGCATTGAAATATTTTCTTTTGATTATTTTTTTCTAGTTTATTGCCAAACAGTTCTATTCTTATCTTTATATTTTGAAAAGATTGTTCACACATATCACATGTAAAATTTGTTAATTCTGACGCTTTACACTGCGAATAAATTACTAACAGGTCAGTGATGCCTATTGCATAGAAATACTGACACCCGATTTATATTCACAAGTTCGAATTGCTAACCTTTTTCTGATTATCTGATCTTTTCGGTTCTAAATAAGTTCAGTAAAAAACGTATATGATTATTTCTCTATCTTCCTTAACTATTTATTTTGTTTTAGTATAGCGATCACGACAAAAGCGAGCACGACTAATACCCAAATACTGAGCTATTGAAAAAATACAAGACACTTCCCCTCTTTCTATCGATAAGCTACGTGTCATAACTTAACCTTTAACGACGAACTGGAAAGTAATTAACGAAGAACAAACATGTTCTACCACAATGAATTGAAAATATCCTTGAAACAAATAACCTTAGCTTTATACGGTTTCTCTTCAATAAAGTTTAACAACTACTCCATAAAACGATACATCATACGTCCTTCGTGGCTTACGACCTTGTTTTCCGTGGGCCCAAGGACAAGACGAATAAAATTTACAATATCTCTTCAATATTTGTTATCTGTTTCATTAAGATACAGGGTAGAATTAGCACTGAGGAGTTTCTTTACCCGGAACAGAATCAAATAATATACTAACCCAAGTGATGTTTATTTGTCTGTACAAAAATATAATACAGGACTTACGTACAGAAGTTAGTAAATTTGGTGGCCCATACACATAATAATTAATTGTTAAACATAAAATAATGATTATATCATTGCATCTATCTCTTAAATAATATAACGAAAATAAACGATTACGTTTTATCTAACTAATACGCATATATAGACAACACGCACATATCAAAAGCCCAGTGTCAGTGAGCATACGCTCCTTTGAACTCCAGATTTTCTGCAATGCAGAACTAACGTATACAACTGCAGTAGAAATTGAAACTTAACAAACTCGCTTAGAGAATATTGAAGTAACAGTAACTCTATTGAGGCATATTTTACCATTGATGATATTTTTAATTTACATTATGTAGGTTTTTATTTAGTTTGTCTAATCATTCCCGATGCGTGATATTATTTATAAAGTTATGTATCGTTCGTAAAGTTCGAATCGTAGAAAACTTTTATGATATAACTTTATAATACAATTTTTAAAACTGAAAGTTAAGAAAATTTTAAACATGATAGAACAATAATCTATGTCATATCTTTTATGACACAATGTTCCCCATAATCCTAATGAGTGAGAAAATGAGTGGACAACCATAATGTCCGCATCATCACTTCGTTAAAATCAGGTGGAATGGCAGTCAAGTTCTAGTCCGCGATATAAAAATTGAAATTGGTGAACGAATATAGCTTTATCAAATGTACTTTTTAATGATACGTCCCTTGATATTAGAGCAACATGAAATTATTTATTTATTAAAACAAATTTGTACATTAAAACGTGAAAGCATGGACCTTATTATTATTTATTTAGAAGTTCAGCCCGCTGTCAAAAGTTATAATTAAGTTTACATGTTACAATAAACACAATCAGATGAACTTATACGACAACATAATAAAATCACGGTTTATTTTATCAGCAATTTCTTTTTTATCTTTTTTTATTTGTAAAATAAATCGTTTTTAATCCTTCTTTCTGCCACTGTTAATAATGGATGGGTTATTTTTTAAAATAATGTATTATTTATTTTTAATTCGAGTCTACGTTAAACTATATTAACTATCTTTCTTTCTGAATTACGGCAGCCTTTTAAAATTTTCATTTTCAAAATCCACCAAGTAGAAACTAAAAGTAATGTGCATCAGTTTTTGTCTATGTCATAAATCAAATTCATATTAATTTTATTGCGACATTCAAATAATAAAAAAGACCCCAAATATATACCTAAGTGTTATTAGCAATCAACTAAAAAATTTAATTCAGATATGTCTTATAAATTATACAACAGTAAAGAATCATTTAACTTCAATTATTTTTAAATTTTCTCTTCTTTCAAGATTAAACTTAAAATGTATTTTTTTTTTTTTGCTTAAAATATCTCAATTTACTCGTTATTAATTTCGCGCCTATGTATTTGATCGCAATAAATGATTTCGTATTTTCAACATGAGCTTTTCAAAACGTAGCTGAATTAGGTTTTATATTCATAACTAGCTGATACCCGCGAATTCGTCTGCTTTGTTAATTATATTAACAATATACATATGAGTAGTTTATTTCATAAGAGCCGTGATAGCTCAGTGTCCGGGCGCTCGCCATTAATTCGATATACTCGAGCAACCTGGGTTCGATCCCCTTGCCGGCACCAGTGAAGTTTTAACTTTAAGTGCTGACTTATCCCCTTCTGAAGGAAAACATCGTGAGGAAACCTACATATTTTCTAAATAATAACAAAAAAATATATATTTTTCAACGATATGTGAGGTCCGCCAATCCGCAGTGGGGCCGCGTGGTGGACTATGCTCTTATACCCTCTATATAGAGGAGGCCTTTGCCCAGCAGTGGGACATGTATAGCCTGTAACTTTACTTTTATATGAGTAGTTTATGTGTAGAGGAAAAAAAAATCAAAAAGACCGTATTTCTCCACCCCGCTTCCCACGACAAGAAAACACATCACTGAACACGCCGTGCTTATAGACATCGTTGTTTTTTAAAACCTTAATAATTTTATATTTAATGTATATCACAATATTTTTTTGATAAGGACCAAGTGTGTAAGAAATAAAACATAGAAAATTTAATTGAAATCTATCCAAAACTTTTCCCGTATCGCATTTTGCGGTAGATTTCTATAACTTTTTTTTTCTTTGATTAAGTTTACTGCTTGAACTAGTATAGATTCAAGATTGTAATTAATAGTTATTGATTTTGGTCAAAATTAAAACGATATAAAATAAGTCGCGGAGGGACAAGATTGCAAATGGCAAAGTGTCGCTCGTTGTGGCGTTCTAAGGGGCAGGCCTTTTTTTTTTCGGTATCGGGGGGAAATCTTCAAAAGATACCCTGTCACGTTACATGACAGGGTTATGAGAGGTTCTTACCCACTAAAACCCCCTCGGTGGCCACCCTCTGTACGTTTGGAGGGACTCCGGGATCTCCCGCGGAACGCACCGGTGTCCCTCAGTACTGCGCGTGAGCACTCCCCGGAGAAGGATAGCTTCTC